ATGTAGAGCCATTTGTAGCCTTAAAATGAAATATATTCAAAAGCGAAAATCAAGTATTTTAGACTTTTCATAAATTCCACATCAAGAACATAAAATCTCCTTGATAATAGAAAATATGAATGATTTGAATCAACATGTCATGCCTTTCAAAATAACTTTTACAAAATATTATCGAAGACACTAACAGCTTTCCATAACTGTTAAGTCCAACTTAAAGAACTTATCTTTATGTAACATCCCCCAGCTGCAATATTGATATTAAACCTGTCAAGGTACGATGAACTCATAATAGTATTAGTTGTGTCTAAAGTGTAGTCTTTGAGAAAGTTGTCAAACTAATCTGAATGTGGACAAAGCCACTATGAAACACACTGCTATGACATTACATTATGTCTGTCGGTTCTCATTAGGCGGTGTCACACAGAGGCCAAAAATCAGGATTTTAGTTCTATTTTAGTTATCCTCTTAATTGCTGTCTGTCATCAATTATCCCATTAAAAATCCTTTAACAAAGCAAGAAAATTCTCCCTTGAAAGAATTTTTCGAGGGATTTTGCTGTGTGACACCGCCTATTGTGTAACATTTTCTAATAAATTTTAAATTTCTTTAATGAATTGTTTAACGGAAATAGAGTTCAAGAGAAGGGGATGAAGGCTGATAATTATCAAACAAGTACAACAACAAAAAATACCTAAATACAGGAGAAGTGAAAATATGGTAATAAATTTACTTTTTTAAAATCATTTATTGCTATTGAAAACATCATTTGCAGAGAGAGAGGGGGGGGGGGGGAGAAAAAAACCTTTCAGTAAAATCACAATCAGTCATACATTGGTGAATGGAAAGCACTTTCTCAAAATCACACTTTTTGTTTCCTTTTCAGTCGACACAGACAGGCTGTTAAGGTTACAAGTGCGTGCTTGTAGAAAGGTGGTAGAATCTAAAAATTGCACTTGGTCTGGCCCCCTCGGGGCACTACATTAATTTTTCGGAATCGATAGCATGAGGTGAAGAGGAAAGATGGAGCCAGGAGCTAGGGGCTAACATGTGGCAGATTGCTTGGTAATTGGGGGGTAACTTGGTTAGAATGAGGCAGCTGATGATCCCTAGAGGGATTAGGATACCACTTCATCACTCAGAAGAGAAGAGGCTCCTCTCAAGATGATGGAGGGATGGAAAGAGGGATGGAGAGATGGAGAGATGGAGAGATGTAAAGATTAAGGCATAGGGAGAGATGGAGAGATCTCCAAATGACGGAGAGAGATAGAAACTTGTGCATGTATTGGGAAAAAGGTATTGGAAAAAGATATGGAGAGATAGAGGGAGAGATGGAGGGAGAGATGGAGGGAGACTAGGAGATATGAAATGATGGAAAGAGATAGAAATCGGTGGCAATGTATTGGGAGATGGAGCAGAGGAGGAAGATGAGGGGATCTAGAGAGAAAGGGATATTGATGGAGATTGAGATGGAGATTGAGATGGAAATTGAGACAGAAAGATAGAAGACAGTGGGGGCGGATTGGGACAGAACAGAGTGGAATGGATGATGGATAATAGTAAAGATGCATGCACATGTTTTTTTGTGACTGATAAAAATATTTGTCTGGGTTTGTAAAAATGGTTGAGATTGAAGTGGGAGAACGAGAGAGGAGATAAACTTGGAGACAGATAGAGAGTTAGAAAGAGAGAGAGAGAGAGAGAGAGAGAGAGAGAGAGAGAGAGAGAGGGAGAGAGAGAGAGACCTTAAGAGAGATGAGAGTTGAAGAAAAGTGGTTTTCACAAAATGTAACGCAATGAAGGTAAAATACTTCTTCCTGCAATTATAACAAAAACGTCATCAATCAATAGTCTAATTTCCTCTATTACCTATTGCCTGAAGGATTTTTGGTTGTTTTCGAGGAAACATTTCTTTCTCTCTTCACAAAGCGATGAAAACAAGCCACTGGATGAAATGAATTCACCCTGACATTTTCAATAACAATGCTGTATTGTTTGATCTGTTTGTATTGGCCGAGATGCATTCAAATGAAATGATGCTGTTTCCGTCTCTAAAGATGGTGGTTCATCTTGGTTACATGGGGACCTGCTGAAAGCCAACTGATTTCTTCTTTAAATTGGGGCTTCTCATATTTTCTCAAAAGAAAAACAATTTCAGCAGCATGCCAGTTCATAGAATGATGTCAATGAACCATATGTTTTGAAATTTGGGAGGAAGGTTCTAAGGATGTGTGATAATAATACTCTGGGTTTATGTGGCGCTTAATACATCAATGATGTCTCTAAGGGCTCTACAGATATATTATTACCACGGTCATCGGATTCAGATTTGCCTGGACACAATGTAATCACATTCTCCACTCCCTGGGGAGCATTCCATCCTGGTGCCATTTTACAGATACTGACAATGTTGAGCAAATAATAATAACTTTTGCATCCTACTGGGTACCCATTTAACACCTGGGTGGAGAGTGGCAAATGCTTATTAATTGCTTACTAAAGTAAAGTGTTAGTATGGACTGGGATTTGAACCATAAACCCTTGAATTGAGAGTCAATTGAATAAACCACTATTTCACGATACCTCCACAGGTGTAGAATGGATCGTAAGGCGTAGGGTATACATATATATGGCCGGATCTGTTATTTATAGAAACTCTTTAAATGATAATGATGTAGAACTAAATAGTTGCTTTAAATGCCCGATAAAGTTATTTGAATGATGTAGAATCATCATAGACTACTCAAACTAGGAAAGCTGGGTCACAAGTAGCTAAACAAAATTGATTAAAGTTAAGTTGTTATCAGAATAGCAATAAAAATACAACCCTTGATTAGTACACATAGAGATGAAAGAAGTATAAATAGACTATATTATTACATCTGTCATTCATGATTTGTGCATGGATGGTATAGACAATCGGTTAATAGCAAGAGGGACATGTATAACTCTCATAAGTGCATACATGCGTCGTTGGACGACATGACATTTACGATTCCATTATACTAGGAGCCTGGAGCGAAGCATTCATGCCTCGAACCCTAGCTGGTCCCAATTAATAGCATAAGAGAAGATAAGGACGATAATCGCTAAGAAAAATAAAGTTGGGAGCAGCGCCGCCAAGATGTAGTTTTGTAAACCCCGGCAGCGGCGAATCGGTCGCGAGGTGATATTCTAGAGAGTTAGGTGTGTCCTGTACACACATGTCGTGTGTGTTTTGACAAGTCGCGAGTTAATGGGAGCCACGGCGTGGTTACATTGTATTCAGGCTAAGTAGAGTGTAAAAAGCTTGACGGTAACAGATCAAATTTCGTCAGTTATGAGTGTACATCTGCCTAGGGTTGGGAGCCGCCTTGAAGAGTTTTGGAGTCGGATGACGGGGGATTGAAGAAATTCCTTCGCATACAAAGAATAGATTGGCATCTTGTTCAAAGAAAAACGATTATCACAAATACCGCTTTCCTTAGTTTGTTTTTCTGTGCCGTGTTTATAAAAGAGTTGGGCAGTATTTTTATTGTTTGAGTCGTGGACCAGTACTTTGAAAAGTTGGAAAAACTTTGCTAAATAAGTGCTTTAGTTTTGCATGTTCACTGTGATATTTTTCATGCACGTCATCATTTTTACAGAAAAGTTATTTTAAATTTAAGTTCATGTACTACCGGTATTCATTTATTTGATTTTTACTGTTAAATATGTCAAGCAACATGGCAATAGCATATTTCCCAGAACTTCTTTTTTTTCCATCGACAGGAGAATCAAAATAACGTGATTGGCATGATCTGTTTTGTATTCTTGCCACCCTTTGGTCCTGCATCTGTTGTTGCATTTCATATTGTATTTATATCAAGCTATATGGTAGACCGTATCATCGCCATAAAATTATATGTTCCCTTTAAACCTTTACCAAAACAATTTTTTTTAAATGATCTGCATTCTGTTGGTGCATTCTTTCCACCCCTTTGGTCCTATGTCTCCACGCCTGACGTATCCAACTTTCGATCCTATTACGAGAACTGCATTTCTGATGTCAATTTCAATATGAGAAACCAAGGGCAACAATCATTAGGTCTGATGTGGTTTTTGACCATCGTGACATGTTTGACAAGTTGAACTCTAATCGGCAGAGAATAGCCGTGAAATTCTCTACCCCAAACGGCACCCAGTGTGTGAAAATAAATAATTGCCTGAGGGAAAAGGATTGAGAGGGAGAGAGGTGAATTCCAATGAAATATGGATTTGAGAAAGAGCTTCAGTCCCATTACTAGAACAGGGGGGTGTTTCACAAAGACCAAGATCGACTTTAAGTTGGACTTAACTATGGCAGGCCATTCATGCCACTGGTTGCGCTCACTATTGGTCTCTCCATTATGTTCTTTAGATAACATTTTTTCCTTCAATGACGTATTATCAAAAAATGTAAATTCTGTCGATTTGTGACCTGATTTGTACGTCATTTGAGAGACCAATGCCATGAATGAATAGAGGAACTATAGTGGCATGAATGGCCTGCCATAGTTAAGTCCAACTTAAAGTCGATCTTAGTCTTTGTGAAACACCCCCAGGTCTCTAGTTTTGTTCTGAAAATCATATTAACCTCAAGCCTTGATACTTGATCAATTGAACTATATAAGCAGGAAAATTGTACATTGTTGTTTCTTGAACTGCCAGTTAAGATATCCTAAGAAGGTAGCCCCAGCCCCTATTCCTTGCTCTGCCATTGACCTATAAAAACCACTTGCTGATCTACTTAGTGTACTATGTAACGTTTGTACTGGCTTCTTACGTTGAAAAATTCTTCTAACTTTGTATCTACTTCGATCCCCGGTGATGTTTTTGTTTCATATGCTATATAATTCTTGAATGTTTCTTTTTTGTTTCACTCGTCGTTGTGCCATAATACCAAATAAATATATCTGTCATTCATTTTGTTTGATGATATAAGAATGAGATATCCTGAACACAGTGAATTCAAACTTCTCCTATACTCTCCCTCCTTGACACAGGTGAAACCATCGACATCGACAGCGACGTGCCTACGACCAATGGCCTCATCACGGATGATGAGGACTTCGGCGAGGGGAGCGGTTCGGGTGACGGAGAGGGCGGCGAGGGCGGCGAGGGCGGCGAGGACGGCGAGGGCGGTGAGGGCGGTGAGGGTAGCGGTCCTCCAGACCAGACGGCTGATCTGACATGTGATGATTGGCCATGTGAGAATGGGGGTACCTGTTACCTCAGAGGGGAAACCCCCATGTGTACCTGTGCTCTGGGATGGGAGGGAGCCATGTGTGAAGATAGTAAGTTAATCATACTTTGCTCATTACCTGTTACTTACAAATCATTCCAATGTAATGTTTCTTTCATTGAATAGTTTTTATAGTCCTGTACATTGCCCTTTAAAACAAGTAAACCAGACTTAATATTTTGTATTTTCCTTTGGTGATATAGAAAAAAAATTCTGTATAAATCTTTTAACTTTTTCCTGGCTTTGGTCGGGCAAAGGAACAAACATTTATACATTAAAAGTTCTTTTGAAAAAAATTCCTTTGTGGAATATCACATCTTTAGTATTAAAAAAACTTTCTTTATGCATTCTACAGGCCTACTCTTTCGATATGTATGCATTCATGCACATATCAGACTTTATCGTTATTTAGATTTTTGTTATTTTACCAATTTTATATGCTACAGCTGGAAGTAGGCAAATGAAAGATTCACCCAAATTTTATCAAATCTACTGTATATTTAGCAACAAATCATGAAGTTGTTTGGGCTAAAATTTAGGCTGAGAATAAAATCCTGCCATGAAGAAGTTGGCCCAATTGTATCAGATATTTGGCATAAGTTATATGGCACCCAAATGACTAGTCTCTAGCATAGGGGAGGGTCAACAATCTATCATAATCATTCTTTTGCCTCAAAATAGGTAAAAATGGTTAAACTTGTAAGAGAAACTTTTGTATAAATCCCAACTATGCAAGCATTTAAAAGCTCAGCTTTGAGTCATATGTAGAGAAATATACACACAGACGCCAAATGTGAAAGAGGTTTACTCTGTCTCCAGACCCCCTTTAGGTGTCTAAATATTTTGAATCGAAAGGAAAAATTGTCTTTGTTATTCTTCCCCAGAAACAGTCAATATTATTTTTATTCCAGCAAGCCCCTGTATGCATTAGGAAGCAAGACGGCATGGTCGTTTAACAATGCAAATAAATCTTGAACTAAGGGTTAGGAAACCTTCTGGGCATTGCATGAGTCTGAAAAGTGAAAGGGAAAGTATAAAAGAGAGAAATTGTATGAAGCACCTGCTCTTACTGTTATATTTTTGTTTGATGGCTAAATATTCAGTTGTTCAGTATTCATACAATGTTTGATAGGACAATGGAACACCGCTATCTGTATGAAAAAATATATGCATGTATTCATTAGAACATTCTGTTAACAGTTTTGTTTTGTAGATTTTACTTGGTCTGCCTCTTTGGTACCTTACAATTGAGGTGTTGAGTGCTATCAGTGTCGCATTGATGTTTGAGTATGATACATTGCATTAGAGAAAGAGAAAGAGAAAGAGAAATAGTGAGTCAGACATAGATTTAGAGAGAGATAAATAGATAAGGAAAAGAGAGATAAAAGAAGGAAAGGGTTAGCAGAAGAGGACAGAGATACAGAGAGAGAGAGAGAGAGAGAAAGAGAAGGAGAGAAAAGTTTAACAATGTGAGTATCTCTCATGCATACAACAAAATTGTCATGAGTTACATAGTATCATCTTTATTATAACAAGAGAGTGCGCAGAAGGACATTGAAAAAGCAGGAGAGAAGAGACAGGGAGAAGGTTGAAAGAGAAAAAGGAAGATGGTATGTATGAACATCATCATCTCAACATCAGCATCTCAACAATGCTGTATTACTCATACACAATAATTGAATTAAAGACCAAGCAGTTTTTGGAAACACCGAAGGCTGTTAGATGGGAAAGCTCTGCCAGAAAGAGAACATATATATATGAGTAATGCTTACATATCTCTTTACCTCCGGAAGAGAAGGCCACCAAATTCACCCATAATTTATCAATCATACCTCCCCTATCAATAAGTCTTGTCAACAGTCACTTTTCACCTGACATCATTCCAGACCGACAATCATCTGCCGCCCCGCCGCCGCAGAATATGAGCATGGTATCTGGTTGGCCATATAGCTGGGTGGTTGCAATAAACGGAGCAATTGTAGCTGGCTCGTTGGCAACCCAATATTTGTGATAACGATGCGATGAGAGCAATATGATTCGCCAAGTGCTATAGATAGTGCATTATGATACAGACAGGACATTCACAATACAAGAACTCTATACAAAGTCTGTTAGAATAAACATTAAATATTAATAATCATATAGCAAACGGGGCGACATTATAAGATGGGAATATCATATAAAGGAATTGGCATATATCTGACATACACCACACTGTACCAAGAAATTTAGGTTTATGGAGTTCTTGAATGGATGCTCAAAACCTCTGCTTTACTATATACATTCAGACATTCGGCTAGAAGAACGTAAATATTTATAAACAATATAGTTAAGAACAAAACTAATCATACCCTTGCCAAGTTTTGTAATTGTTGAAATTTGTGAAAAATTGATTTGTCCTTTTTTTATGTTTCTTGAGAATGTGAAGTATTGAACTTATATAAGTATTCAATAAATTCCACCATTCTTGAGTTTAGAAAATACAAAAAACATCCAATTTACAAATGGTATGACTAATTTAGTTGTTAAATCTTTATATGGATTATTGTTTAGCTGTAAAACATTTTTTTCTAGTCAGAATGGGACCTATGGGGTAGTGCTATGGGAAATGAGGGGGAGTAAGAATCGGTCTGGTATCAAAGCTTTACAACCAATTTGAACTTAATGCCCCCTGATCGTCATACCAGTTGTGTGCTGGTCTGATTCTTGAACAGTGACATTGAACATGGTGCTCTACATTTTCTCCAACAAAGAGAAGAATATTGCACAATTTTGTGAAGAGGAGGTAAATAAACATACCATTTGTTGCTTGATGACCTGTCCTAGTCATTTATCTTTCCAGCACTGTAGCACAGCTCTTTTGCACTCAAACCACGAGCATAATAGTATCAAAATGATACTGTTTTGACAATAATGACTTTAAAAGTACACTGCTTTGGTAACTTAAGTTTTATCCCCATTGTTGATTTATTGCATAGCTTACATTACCTAAAAGCAAAGCAATGTACAGAGCCTTTTTTGGGTACTGGTAAGTAAAACTTTCAGGGATGAGATTCCTCCTCCGATCAGCCGATTTCCGCTGATTTCGATATTTCAAGACCTCTTAAAAAATTAAAAATTAAAAACCTTAAAACCTGTAATCACAGTAAGGGTGCTCTACCCCTTAACCCCCCTCCCCCACCCCCACCCAGCAGGGGCATTGCCACTGGACCCCCAAGTGATCTTCCTTCTTTAGGGAATTTCTCCGTCTCATTCCTGATTTATTCTATTGTCTTTGATCCCTTGCCTTGACATTAGCTAGTAATCTCTCTTCCAACTCATCATTCAAATGATAAATTCTTCCTCTGCTGGAGTATGTTTCCAACTAGATGGGACACGGAGTTACGTCATTCCGCCTCTGTCTTGCCAGTGCAACATCAGTCTCCCACTCGATGGGGATGAAGCGATGTGTCTCTAATATCCGCTAAAACTATTTGTTGACTTTCTGCACACGCACTCAAGTCCCCTTTGAGGCACTACGGGTAGCATGTATGATTGATTATTGCTTGAGATGGAATAAAGTTTGTACTTGGTGATATTGGTCCACTTGGTTAGGAGTTGAGAGATTGGATGCTAATGTCAATCATATAGCACAAATCTCCTATTGGATAGTATAGTCTCTTCTCTCAACGGTGATATCCAGATTGCACCGTGCATGGAGGAGGGAAGCATTTGTACCACACATACTAAATCTTAGTAGTGCAAGGAAGAAACAAAAAAGTACTGTACCATTCACCTTAATGTAAAAAATTCCTTACAGGAGATGCTATTAGCATATTTTTCATATATTGATATGAGGAGATAAAACTGCTGCAATCTAAGCTAATGATTGGATGCCCATTCAGTTTTTTTATATCACATTTATTGTAGATAACAAGAGAAGGCATGATGTAAATCAAATTCTGTTTGATGTACAGCAGAAGAGATTGGATGAGGGAAGGGATCACATATGGCTCCCCTTCCTTGTCAAATTATTGTGAACATTTTTTTTTTTGCCTTTTATTTTGAGACCTCACTTCGTCTTACAAAAAATACACTTTGTGGATGGGTTTGTTAGATCTTTTTACACATTGTGCCCCTTCATCAAATCATCTGCTAATATTTAGTATCCTCATTCTAGCAAGTCAGTGAAATACACTACCCTGGATTGCTGGAAGCGATCATTTCCCCTTTAAGTGTTTGGATCTCCCCTTTAAGTGTTTTGGGTCCCTTGTGTGATAGATACCCGACAGAAGTCACTTGAGTTACAGTCATCCTAAATGGAAGGGATCTACTTTTATGATTGCTTGGATACATATAGATATATATATCATATTGGAGAGGTTTGTTTGCATGTGTGAGCATTGGACTTGCCATAAATTATCCTCCAACTGTAAATAATTAATCGGGGCACACAAGGCGGGAACCTTTTAATTGCGGTATCCATGTTGATGGCACTCTGCACAACTCTCTGATGTGATGTGATCCTTGCTCATGTTCCAGGGTATCTATTCAGTCAGTATGGTGGAAGCTCTGTGTGTATCAAGTATTTGATGTTGAAGTGTTAAACAAGGTACTCTCCCTTTATGGAAAATTAGTGGTCAGAGTGGAAACGCAATCCCATCAATTAAAAAAAAATAAAACTGAAGAGCGATTTCAATACCCTATGTCCCATTAAAGTTATGTTCAGATCAAGTACCAGTAATATGTCATTGTTATGTCACACATTACAATAGGTGACACACAAGGCTGTTGAGAATGCGTTAGATTGATTTTTTGAAAATAATTGCTATTAGGTTATAATTGCTACAAAGGTGCTGTGATATTGATTGAAAATAGATATTATCTTCAGAGACCGTGAATGGTGTTAAAGCATACATGTATACAGAGTTAATGACTTCTGGACCCTGTTTCATAAAACTTGATATCAATAACAAGTTACAAGCTACTGTTATAAGCTACTGAAATCATGGCATCTGATTGGCTGAGAGCAAATTTGTCATAGAAATTTAGCATTTGTTATAGATAACAAGT